AATTAAACTAAATTTGCTTTTTCAGCTTTTATATCTGAGATCCAATTTTGCACCAACCCCAGGTTATCTTATCTTATTCTCTTTCTCACGGTGAACAGGTGATCGCTAAAACCTAAATTTGTAATTCCGTCTGAAGTCTCGCATCATTGTGATTCAGAGTTCACTGGATTATTTCCTTTTTTTCAGATGGCAACTATAAGCCTAAGGCAGACCTAGGAGAAGCAGAGGACATCGCTAAAACCTAAATTTGTAATTCCGTCTGAAGTCTCGCATCATTGTGATTCAGAGTTCACTGGATTATTTCCTTTTTTTCAGATGGCAACTATAAGCCTAAGGCAGACCTAGGAGAAGCAGAGGACATATTTAACGATCATGAGGGTAAGCTTACTTATTAACAAATTATCTGACGTCCTTGTGTGATCATATACAATTTCCTACATAACGAAAGTTAAATAAAATCAGTTTCGCCGATTGTTTTACTTTGCGGATCATTCAGATGTTCACCAGAGTAAACTCCAGACCACTCTTCAGGGCCCAGTTGTTCGAAGTCCGATTAGCGCTAACCCCGGGGTTAAATCAACAGCATTTCCTCGGGTGGTGTTTTCTATTCTTTTAAGGGTATCTTATCATCAAATTGTAGACGAAAAATTAAACTGAACTTGCTTTTACAGGTTTTATATCTGAGATCAAATTTCGCACCAACGCCGGGTTATCTTATGTTATTGTCTTTCTCACGGTGAACGGACAGATGATCGCTAAAACCTAAATTTGTAATTCCGTATGAACTCTTGCATCATTGTGATTCAGAGTTCACTGGATTATTTCCTTTTTTTCAGATAACAACTATAAGCCTAAGGCAGACCTAGGAGACGCAGAGGACATATTTAACGAACATGAGGGTAAGCTTACTTATTAACAAATTACTATCTGACGTTCTTGCGTGATCATATACAATTTCCTACATAACGAAAGTTAAATAAAATCAGTTTCGCCGATTGTTTTACTTTGCGGATCATTCTGATGTTTACCAGAGTAAACTCCAGACCCCTCTTCAGGGCCCAGTTGTTCGAAGGCCGATTAGCACTTACCCGGGGTTAAATTTTAATCCGGGTTCAGCTTTTCCTCGGGTAGTGTTTTCTATTCTTTTTAGGGTATCTTATCATCATGTTGTAAACGAAAAGAATTAAACTGAATTTGCTTTTTCAGCTTTTATATATGAGATCCAATTTTGCACCAACCCCGGGTTATCTTATCTTATTCTCTTTCTCACGGTGAACGGACAAATGATCGCTAAAACCTAAATTTGTAATTCCGTCTGAAGTCTCGCATCATTGTGATTCAGAGTTCACTGGATTATTTCCTTTTTTTCAGATGGCAACTATAAGCCTAAGGCAGACCTAGGAGAAGCAGAGGACATAAACGAACAAGAGAGTAAGCTTACTCATTAACAAATTACTATCCGACGTCCTTGTGTTATCATATACAATTTCCTGCGAAAGTTAAATAAAATCAGTTTCGCCGATCGTTTTACTTTGCGGATCATTCAGCTGTTCACTTAAGTAAACTTCAGACCCCTCTTCAGTGCCCAGTTGTTCAAAGGCCGATTAGCACTAAGCCGGGGTTAAATTTTAGTCCGGGTTCCTTTTTCGTTTGATCAACAGCATTTCCTCGGGTAGTGTTTTCTGTTCTTTTAAGGGTATCTTATCATTAAATTGTAGACGAAAAGAATTAAACTGAATTTGCTTTTTCAGCTTTTATATCTGAGATCAAATTTCGCACTAACCCCGGGTTATCTTAACCCAGCTTCGAACAACCCGGCCCAGACCTCCAACTTCTTGGAATAATTAATCCACTGGTGCATAATGTTAATCCATGTAAGCAACAAAGAAAGTTTTCACTGTTGATTCTAGTGGCTTAAGCAACACGTTGACAAAATTGAGAGGTACTTAAATCGCATCATCTGCATCGGAACGTATTGTCGCAATGTTTTAAAGTTTTGAATGTTAGGAAGGAAACCTCGCGCTGGTACATTCTCTACCCCCCAACCTATCATCAGGCGGTTGGAAATTGGTTTTTTATCTCTTGACTGATACAAGTCTTTGACTTTCATCTTCAGTCTTTCTAAAGGATACTAGTGGGCGCAAGAGATTCGATTCCAGTTAACTGAAATTCATTACATCGACTATTAAAAGATGACTTGTAAATAGACGTAGGGGTGTAAGCCAGAAGTTATCGTTGTGCCAGCGACCTCAACCTCAATTGTTCTTTCTAAATGCTAAAGCTTAACAAATAACTACACAACAAAATATATGAGCAACGCAGACGTCTGTTGGTTTGACGGAGCTTTTCTCAGTTTGACAATACACAAACCATTTCGCCACAATGATCGGGGCCTTTTGAGGCGGGTTAAAGGTTTGTTAAAATGATTGATCAACCATGTCACCCGAAAATAGTTGATACCAAGAAAGGACACCAAAAAAACCAACCAGCTAAACTAAACGAAAAGGCATCGCCAGAGTAGAGCAGTTAGGAGAGTTAAGTTAGGAGAAGAGACCTGACTGCCTTAGTCGAGGATGGCTGTAGAAATTGCATGCTTTGTAATAATTAACTTTGAGACCCTATGTTACAAAGCAAAATTTTTACACTGTTATCATATACATTCATCTTTTGACGTGTAAATAGGTTCGGATTTTTAACCTCCCTTTACTATTTGTATTTCTATCTTAATATTATTTAACACTATTTTAATATTTGATTTTTATTTTTGTAAAGCCTCTTGAGCCAGGTAAAGCGATATCTTTATCATCAATTATTATCTCTGTTCCCAATTTCTTACTTTTGACATTGGATATGTAAATTTGAAGGTAGATCCCTTCTACCTATTTTCTCTAAAGTTAGAGTAAACGCGTAGCATATAATTCTGGAACAGCGAGATAATGCTCGGGGGGGGGGGG